GTACAGCAAGCCCTGGATGCGGACGCCGAATTGGACGAACTGGATCGAACCGGCTCGTTGAAGCATGGACATCAATCACGGCAAACGGATTGGCTTGATAACGATCGATCTGATAGCCCCGGTGGCCGAGGCACGTCCGATCTGATGGGGAACACCACGGACGCTCAGCGGTTAGCTTTAATGCTTCAAGAACAACTGGACGCGATCAATAAAGAAATCAAACTGATTCAGGTTTGTTCAATTGATTGATTGATTTCACCCTTCGTTTGAATTTACCTCAAAGGTATATGCTACACTGATGTCGTTGTCTCAGATTCCCTGTTTCTTAAATTAGGTCACTTGGTGAATAGAACGAGGCGAACTGGTTGATGTGTTCTGCCTTCGCTTCGACACGATCTTCTACTCTGTAAATCACCTCGTGCCAGGTCTTAACTTGACCACCCTTAAGTTTTTCAACCAACTACCTGCCCTGGTGAACATCGCTCGACGTGGCAACCTATTTGATGATATGCGTAACGCATGCCCGAAGCAACGTAATCTATGGAGATTGAACATTTTCTCCAGTGGATGACGGTGGTTATCTAAAACTCTTCGCCTACCCCCAGCATTGCTTTTTCGATTGCTCCAGTAGATCGTGCAATGCTGCGTAGACAGCGGTATTCAAACACCGACAGTCTTTCTTTATCCCGGTTACTTAATGGCCAATTTCCTGCGCTGTATAGCAGAACTGACTGAACTGCTGCAGCATGTACCCATCACGGATAGCCTGATATCGCGACGGAGCCACAGGTGTCTGAAGTTGGCAAATGCCAACCGAGCCTTCTGTATGTGAACTGACGCTTCATTCGTGATACCGCCACCGGGTGAGATGTAGGTTCCCAAGTCACTAAACTTATCCATCTGCTCTAATAATTCCCTAGTTAGAATGAAGTTGGTTGCTGGGAGAACCCAGTCTTGTGGCAACATTTTACACTTTGAAGGTACAAAACGCATACGGAACATGGCTACGCTGGCGCTAAAGCTATCCAGAAAGGCTCGCATCTTATCTGGATCTTCGCTTAGCAGTACAAAGTCGTCTGCATACTCCAGATCGGTAGTCTGCAATCTGGTAATAAATCGAATTTACTATCTTCCCACAAGAATAGGGCTGTTTCCATAACCCTGACAAACACCACTTTCCGTGGTGAACTCAGGCGAAAAAGTGCCGTGCACAAGTGTCTCGTACGTCTAAGCGAATTCGCCTCCCCCGCCCCCATTGTGCGTATCACTATGAGCAACAATGCAGTGCCCGGTTCAAGACGTTTAGAAGCAATTCAAGTTGGCCTTGGCTGCCCAGATCCGTCTTTTCATGCAATCATCGGCTATGTTCATTTAAGAGAAATTACCGAACCACACGCGCAATAACCGGCACTGTTACTAATGATACAGTCCGTTTCGTTATTTCGTCTGTATGCCTGAGCCTGCATTTCAGTCAAAAAGGAATACATCAGAGAGAAAGAGAGCGTTCGAGAGGAAGCAAACAGAGTTAAGTTCTGAAGCTTTTAACAAAATCTGTGAAAACCTGTACTGTGTTCACTAGAATATGTGCCGTATAGTTATGATATATGTTTATGCGAGAGGGAACACAACGATATTGGGATCTAGTTGACGGATGGAAACGAAAAGAAATTAAATCTGTGTGTAGTGAATGTGTGCCTAGGACAACCGAAGGTCTCAAGTTTACGAAGAAGAGAAAAGAACGAGGAATAGAATCAAAAGCAGATAAATAGTCCAGAAACACGACGAACAGATTTCACAGTCACTCAAGGATTTAGTAATTTTATGTATAAGTGAGAAAACTGCATGTTGCGTGTGTCTACTTGGTTTGTAAGCAAATTGAAGAGAATGGTACGAGACATCAGGTGAGGACTGTAGGCGTGCTTGGGCAACAACACGTTCCGCTAGTTTAAAACCAACAGAAGTTAAAACTATAGGACGGAAGAGTTTGGTTAAAACGGTTGAAGTAGACTATTTGGTTATGAGAACAAGCTAGGCAATATCATCAGTGCCCTTTCGGACAGCTACATAACACCAGCTTTCATGGGTTGCAAAACTGATCCGGATGTGCAGATAACAGACAGATGGGATTCACGATGATATTTATTGTGCCTGCCGAACAATTTTTGGCTTTGCGGTCGCTATGTACAACGAAAGGGGTTGTTTATATGATGGATTCGTCGTGTAACTGAGGCGTGAGCTGAAAAGCTGGAAGCATTGGACAGCTGTTTCGACCTGGTTGGGTCTCGTCAACAGTGTGAATTCATCGACTCAACTGGGGATCGAACCCGGGACCTCACAGGTAGAATGCAAGTATACTACCCACTCGGCCACCGGGCAGTTGATCAGATCGTTTCTCATTTTAAATTTACACGTTAGTTCGCGCAGTTGCAGAGGAGTTCTGATTTCTTTGGAGCTTGTTCTTGTATACGAGAACTTTTAAGACATATTTGAGCACGGTTAAACTGATCAAGCTTCCATCTTTGGCATGTCGTGTGGCGTATATTCTGACTTTGCACCATTTTTCACTATCTTGGGACATGCTGTGGATGATAAAACACTATGAACCGTGCTATCGGTCACTGATTGATTTGCATTTTGAGTTGTCGAGTCCATCGCTATAATACTGATGAGTTGATGTTCCCCAATTCAAAACCCTGCCTAAACAGTCATCAAACTGCACTAACCTTTTACTATATCACATTTACAATATGAGTGGGACAAGTAATCGTAAATAAACTCAAATCGTTGACCAATCTGAGTCGAGATTAAGACTAGATAAATTTATTCACGAAGTCATTGATGAGAAAGCGGACACGTATCAATTTCATCCGGTTGATAACCGATTTATCTCCTACTACATCGTCACTTGTTCTTGTCTGGTTCCACAATGAGCACATATAGGAGGATAGTAGCTTCTAATAAGTTAGACCAGTAGGTCTGACGTGCAACGCATTATGTTATCTACAGTGAACTTGACCATTTTAATCTGATTGCCAGTGGCTTAGTGAAAACGGGCTTGCACCCAAAGTATGAATTAGTTGATTTCATTTCACATTGAGAAGAAGATCAATCGGTACACTTCAGCCGGTACATCCAGCCACGCAGTGCTTTTGCAGTTTTTTTCGTGACACAGGTTATCGTTCTCCTATTCACGCGAAATCGCTCCGAAGCAAACAGTGTGGATCGGACTGAGCATGGGAGTCTGGAGAGTTCAATGAATTAATGAATGAACTCTCGTTCACCTTCTCTGTTCATGTGACTCAAGTTAGCTCAGGCCCAATTGTTCGGTCTTACAAATACTCAATTTATAATCACGCGGTACATTCATCCCTTCTAATTCTGAGTTTCACCAACTCAAAGCTCACTTCAGCAAAGTTCTAAGTACAATGTTTTTATAATCCATAGAAAGGAAACAACAGGACAGGGCGAAATATATGAACTAGAATGATTTTCATCGTTTTCCGCGGATAAAATATCTATTGTCCTCCGAATATCCGCTTGCACACTTACTTCCGAATTCATGCCCATAATCTGTACACCGCCGAGAACATATAGTGAATCGGAAGCAAAAAGCACACATCACAGTTTTCCGTTTTCAGTTGCCAGCTCGACAATGACATGAATACGATGCAAGAACCTGAAAAGTAGGAAAGACACCAAGTGGGGGTTGGGTTTGCGGGGTAGAAGAGTACAGAGCGGAGCGGTAAGGCTATCTTTTTTGACACAAAAAACCTGAGAGTGCGATCTATGTCGCCAGTGTGCTGTTAATGACGAGGATGATACCAGGCGTCTGTCTAACGCCGGCCGTGTACGCTTGATCACGAGGTTACCAATTCCAGATTTGGCACCGGACCGCACTGAGAGTTAGAGATGGTTCACCGGTGAGTCGCGCGTTGCGCCAGAGTCAGAACCGATTATGAAGACGGATTGGGTGATGCACACACTAAAAATGTTTTTTGCTATGTACATTTTCACTACCACAAGGAACAGAAACTTTACAATAATGCGTCATTCTCTTTTCACTAAACGATCAACTGTCAAAAATAATCATCTTCGGGCAATAGCTGGGACCGCTGGTTGAGGTTCTTTCTAGGTTTTGCATATATGTACTAGTGTTGTCAGATACTACTCACAATTGTAAACAGTTCGCTAAAAGATGCGCTGGCGGTTTCTTTCAACGGTCAAAATGAACAGGACCTGTTAGAGCGAATTGCTGCTGATCAGTATGGTAAGTACAAGAATGTGCATCTAGTAGCGAACCGTGCGATTTACCTATTCCGTGTGCGTGTGGGAATTCAGAAGACTTGTTCCAAATGAGACAATTAGTTGTATGTATTCCATTTTACCGATAACCTGACCTATCCTCGACCGGGCACCGGCTTGTGGAGTTATAACACTAGTTACAAAGCTAGGGTGTTTGTCTGTGGAATAGCACTTTTCCGTGTGGGGAATAGTTCAGTTTTTTTCTAATCTCAGCTCTCTCTCTCTCTCTGTAAACCATGATCTCACCAACAGAAATCTGACATTTGTGGAATGCACTCACATTTTGATTAATGAAAAGACAAGGAATTAAGGACGAACATACGAGATATTTTAATTCAAATCATTTCTAATGACCACACTTCGTTCTATTATCGCTGAGTATCATCCCCGTTGGATGAGCGTTGTGTTTCTTCACCCCACCCCATCCCCACCTCTCTCAACAAGATTTTGTCTGCTGGATCTCCTCGAATCCCCATTGAGCGCAGTCTACTATGATGGAGTTATGAAAAACTGAAGAATGCAGAAGTTGCGTAACCTTATAATATGCAGAATGCAGTTAGTTCGGCACAATGATTGTTGTTCATGTTCGAGCAATTGTTCTTAGACTTTGGTATAAATGTTTATTGCTTTGTCCTGGATGAACTTTGATCGTAGTTTCAGTGTCTCTTCGGAACATTTCTTATATCGAACCTCGAACCGCGGATATTCGGGTTGCGTGGTGAAGCCCCTGAACTACAAGGTCGAAGACCAACACTATACACAGATTCTGGTATCTGTAAACTTGCATGAACTGGAAAACCCATATATTCATTTTTGATGCCCGTCTAGGCTGTATTCGTACTCTGTCTCTCTCTCCCATGCACACTTTACTCTGTAGGGTTCTGAGTTTGAACCCTATCGCCCCGGTCCCATCTGCTTCTACAGGACTATGTTGTGGTCATCCGATTCATTGTTAGTCATACCTATATTAAGATCATCTTATGTACTACTCGTCATCACAAGTAACTGGGTTTGTCATCGACGGTCGTCATCACTGGACACTGTTCGTTTGGTTTTATGAGAGAAAACGTGCAGCTTATGCAGTGGTTTTGTATGGTTATTTGTTTCGGGAACGGAATCACTTCATTGAGTAGTACAAAGTAAAAAAACATGAGATACGTTCAATAGATTACAATCCACTGCTAGTTGTTTCAACTGAACTCCATGCTATACGATCCCATTTGGTCCTTACTGTTGCTGTTGTTATCTACATCTAGGAGTTTGGAACTAATTGCAGGCTCGCATTTTTGACTTGTCAGTTTGCAAGCGATCAAATACGAACAGGCTGCAGAACTCGGAACCCATGAATCAAACCAATGAAGACACTGCCAAGAAGTGTTTGTGTCTTTCAGGATCGTAAGAACAATGTATCAGAGATGCAGACATGGTTAAGCTTCCAAGGCAGAAAATTACTGGCCTTCTTGTACCGTTCTATTACCAATACAGCTATAAAAAGCATAAAAACTTGATGGTCTAAGGACCTGTGAGTTGTACCGTTAGTGTTTATAGATCGTTCAAAATCACCGATTGTTGCATGTTCTTTTTATTGCGTCGAGTGGGATAGAAAATTCTTTGATTAGATGACGTTCATTGCTACCTTTGTTCTACCTCTCTATTGACCTTGGAGAACAACTGCTGTATCTCGACTGCCCATTCTACTCAGCACTACGCACGTGCCAAATCATATCTCTATGGTAAAGGAATTCGGTCAGTTGTACGGAATCATGTCAATCATGCCACACTTCCATCATCACCATTTGGAACAGATTCATTCGACAGATGATGAATGCACCCTTGTGGCGATTTTGGGCAGCTCCATTTTCGTTACCTTTTTATGTCCATAATTCGTATTTGCTTTGTAGAAAGATGAATATCAACCAGTTTTTACCTCGACAGTGACCTTGAACATAGTAGGTGTGACTCATTGATTATATTATCCAACTCACCAATCACATCTCCCACTCTCTTGCTCTCATTCTGGCAACCGAAAACAAATCACAGATTTGTTGGTGTGGTCTTGCGAACGAGTTCAGGCTTGGCTTGATCAGATCGGGCTGAAGGAGTACGCATCCAATCTGACCGGGTCCGGTGTTCATGGTGGTGTGGTTGGATTGCATCCGGAACTGAACGCGGCCCAATTGGCTCTCATCCTTCAAATTCCCACCTCGAACAGTTCGGCTCGAAATGTGCTTGCCAAGGAATTAAATGATCTGGTCCAACGATTTCGAGCCAGTGCACCGATTGCCGCAGCCAGTCTGGGTCCGGCTCCGCGAGTCTTGGCTATGGAGGCCGCTGCCCGGGCCAGAGCCCAATTCGAAGGCAAAGACATCACGTGTCCGGATGACGGATCCAGCGAGACTGCAGTAAGTTGGCTATACATTTATACTGTAGTATTTCGTGTTTGTTTTTATCCACCGGGGAAATTCTTGCTCATGCAACCACCGCGTTGGTTGAGGTTCTGTACTTGTCCACTTTACCCCAACCCCCATTCCACCCCACCCCACACCCGCAAACCACTTATTGCAAATCGTTGACCACACGAGAGAGAGGCTTTGAAACATCGAATTTCGATTGAGAGTGATCAGTTATTTTGCTTTGAAAAAGACGGAATAAAGAGAAGCAATTTTGTCGGAGAGTTTGAACAAAGACATTTCTGGAGGTACTTTACACTTAGTGATTTTTATATATATATATAAAACAAAAATATCATTACCCCGATTTTTAGATTAATTAAATTGTCGAACAGCAGGTGTTACTCAGGCGGCTTTCTGAAAGAAACATGGGACGTGTGGTGCACAGGTGTATCTGAGACGGCAACACAGTGAAATCATAAACAGCCCAAGTCCAAATCTCTCTTGTATTCATTCCGATACGGATACGATCAGCAATTAAAATAAGCATATCACAACCATCAGGTATTTTGAACCTGGCACCAATGATGATAAAACTGAACTGCCGGAAACAGGAGGACGGGGGCGCCTCTCAAAAGATGATGATCATTTTGAGGTCTCAAAAATATTCATACACACTTTTTCACCTGACAAAAATGACAACCCTCTGGTGGAAACTGGAGTTCTCGTCGTCTCGCTTCGATTGACGCAGACCGATTGTTAATCACTATTTTCTTGAGGTTGATGAAACTTTTTTTTAAATTTTTTATTTTCAGTTCGAATGCATTCGTAACCGATAATCATTCTAGAGGGAATTGTTGGAGCAGTTTAGAGGTGACATGAAAAAAGAATCATGAGATCTTTTTTCTTAGCTAGAAACAATACTTGTCTCTAGCTGAGTCAATTACAAACTCACAATCAGTCATTCTTTCCGAATACATCGTACTTGAGAGCCTTCTGCCGATTTACTTTCATGCACATCTCTCTTAGTCATAAAGGTGTTCAACGCGATCTCCTTATCATTTGTACCAGTTATCCCGTCCGTCTGTTCGTCACTCATTTGTTTTACAGTTTTATCTTCTTTCTCCACCCAGCCCCAACAGCGTTACGATATTTCTTATTTTTTTTATAATGCCATTGTTCGAATTATCTCTTCGCTCCCGAACTAGGTTGATCGTGGGTTTCTGTAAGTCGCTCTCTCTCTCTCGCTCGCTCGCTCGCGCGTGCGCATCAAGCCACCAGTATCATTTCGACCCGAGCCGAATGCAGTGCGCGCTCCATTCCCCCTTTTCCTCCGCCCACGCCCCATCCCCCCATCTCTGTCAGTCCACACTACTCACATCCGTTGGTTTTGCGCATCTCAGTCGTTTCCCTTTTCGGGTATGGGCTAGGGGTATGTTTCGTTTTGTATTTCGGTTTTAGCCACGGAAAACATTCATATCATTCATTCGATCAACGTAGCGATAGTTTAACAACAACAGCAACCTGTTGACATTCGTCTGCTCCGCCCCGCCCCCTCTCCGCGAGCCGCCACCTCCTAGGCCCACGGATACCAATGTGTACATACGCGTTGCCACCGCTCATTCGTATGATCTCAGTCTCTGTCTCCCACATACACACACACACACAGACAGACAGAAAGAGGGAATATTAATCGTACATGAGATTGTGGTTTCCGTCCAACTCGTATCTGTTCTCCACGATGCAGGTCAACAGAATTCTTTCAATCAATCAGTTGGGGATGATAACGCAGGCTGAACACAGACAGATCTTCCACGCCATCAGGTTTGATTTGCCATGACCAAAACGGTCCCATTTGCCCCCGGCATCCAATCCTAGGACAGGAATGGACTTATCGAAAAATAACCAGTTAATTCCTTTTTTTTCTTCTTCTCGTCATTGTTTTCTGATTCGATTACAAGCTTACCTAAAAGAGATTTACCAATCAGTTGCTTGGAGGACTATGCGTTTACAAGCGCTATGCTATCCTCCTCGACAATCTAAGTGTTCAGGCCCGTTTAGATCGCATCAAACCCCCAGCCTCACCAAAGCGCTCTCCGATTTACTTGATTTTTTTTCGCAAATCTGACAATGGTATAAAATTACTGTGTGGATTCTGGGTGATTTATCCGGTGACCATCGCTCATCGTTTGATTAACCTGTGATTCCTCGCAATCCGTGTTGCTAATCGTTCCATCCATCCGTCTAACCCGGATTATTTTGTGTTTAATTCTCAGTGCGCATTTTATCCCCCGCCCCCCCCCGTTGTCCTTCGTGTGTGGTGCTTCATGAAAGTATCGAGTGTGTTTTGTTTGTCCCAGCGGTACAAGATTGTTCGTCATCTATGACCACCTGGGTACGTTTGCATGTATGACTGCGGTTGTTCTCCTTAGCCCCCGTGTGTATTTCTATCGCCTGTGTTGACTAAAATCGGGGTTTTCGGTGTTCGACCCCACAGCTGTGGTTGTTTGCCACGTCGAATAGTATAGATTACATACACAAAAATGGAATGCTGCCCGGATGCCTCACAAGTCATGCTGCCTTTATCTGGTTGAATCTGTTCAGCAGATAAGCATCACCACCAATCTCGACATAGATACCGTTCACAATCACCGGTCTGGATCTTCTTCGTTAGTGGCAAATGTATTCACTGTGTTCAGTGAGCTCGGTTTAGGTGTATAACAAATCGGGCTTAGCATATGACATCGTACACACAGATTTACCACCACTATACCCCTTGCACTTTATAATAATAATAAGAACAACTATCATTATTTACCCATCTACCCGAGGCAGCTAGGTGCCAAAACTGTGCAGAGGTGGGGAGGGAGTGAAAATGTATGTTCTCCCATTGTGGCAATGTTGCCGCCCACTGTAGTACTCAGTTTCCCAAACAAGAAATTGACTTCATTGTGACGTCAACTGAATAGTCTAACCAACTGTTATATTCTGCTGAGACATACGACCGACACAAGCACCTATTCCGTAGGTCCCAACCATATGATGGGAGAGAGAAAAAACAGAACACGACTGGAGAACAACAGCCAGAGTGTAGTCTGTGCTGTGATACGCAAATATATGTGGGTAAATTGGGCGTATGAGAACGACGTGGTGACGCACCAATCAGATCGCGTCCTTGACACTGATTGGTCGATCGAAAGACTTCTGTATGATTCGTTCTATAGGCGCCCGCTCCGGAATCGATTCGCCTTGGGCGTCATGATTTCGCTTGTGGTGTGACGCGGATCCGTGCACGGCTTGACGGGTTCCGTGACCTCCGTCCTAACACCAACAAGACACTTTGCTTTGATAAGGGTCAGTGTCCTATTGATCGGTTCATGCCCCCCTCCTCCGGACGGAGGTCCTACATCCATGGTGTTTATTCGATGTTTATGATAGAAACGAAGGTACCCCACCACTGGATTCTCTATTTGGAGCTATGTCCATGAGATTCGCTAGCTGTCTTCACAATCTTCCATGGTTATGGCCTGGTAACTGGAGCCGGCCTATGTGCAACAGGCGTTCCGCTAGCTTTCTCATCCCTCAGCGCCAATTTGTTCATTGGCCTCCGCGTTCTCTCTTCCAATAGAACCTGGGAGGAGTTAGAAAAACGTGGTGCTGCAGGCGCTGGGCAGGCATTACCAACACGTGACCGAGCCAATGGATATGGTGCAACGAAAGATGTTATCTAGGATGGAGTCGACTGTGTCAGTTACTCCATTGCACACTTCAGCGCGGCTGACGCATTACTCCCACCGAACAGAAAATGTTACGGTAATATCGGCAGTGAAATTCAGCTCGGCTTTGAATATTCTGAACTGGAAATGGCCACGTTTCGCAGTCATTTTTGCTGAGTTGTGAAACATGCCAAGTTGAACTCGTGATCGAATATCAAGTAATCCTGCACCTTGTCATGAGTAGTTTCGAACTCGGGGTTTCCAGCTCTTCTGGACGAACTAGTGAGCACTGAACTATTTTATCCCCCTGGAGTTTGTTTTCTTATGATTTTATTTCAGTAGAACCTAGCCCGTTACGAACATAGAGTTAGTGATAAGAACCTCTCCGACACAGGCGGTTAGTGCAGGTCATGATAAAACATCTGGATGGGAATACGAGATTTGAAATTCCGATTACTGGAAAACCTGCCCGCGAACATACTGGAGGAAATGGATCTGGGGTCCCCCCGCCCCCCCCCCCAATACTCGTTTTGAATA